TCACGTGCGCCTCGCGCTGCTGCGTCTGTTGAACTGAGGCGCTACAGCGATCTGCCACTCCACATTAAACAGCGCCAAAACGGCATTTATTGTTTGAATACTGCAATACAATGGACAGAATTTGAAATCTGAGACTTTGTTTCATATTAAAAGTACTAAAGCACAATGCTTATTGCGATTTATTGGATAGGAGGTGCCCTTCAATGTTCCGTCCATTAACTGAAAACAGACTAGAATAATTGATTATTGGGATTTAAGAATTGATATCGTTCTGTAAAAATGAGAATCGATTAAAATCGAGATATCGATATTTTTTACCCAGCCCTAATTAGCAGCACTCTGTCGTTCAAGTGAGGAGCGGGACCATAATAACTTTACATTTTTGGAAGGTAATGTGTCTGCTGGTGGTTAGAGACAACAGGAGGGTCCTCATAATCAGGGTCCTCTTCAACTCAACATTATCGTCTGTCTCAGACACATTCTCCTCTGTCACTTTCACTGACAAAATCTCATTGACAGAAAACCTTTGCTTAAAGGTGCAGTAAGCGATTTCTGAGAAACGCTGTTGAAAGTGGGACCGAGCACCAAAACACACTTGTAGCCAATCACCAGTAAGCGGCGTGTCCAGTAGTGATGGGGGAGGTGCCTGTGTTGAATAGCATGTTCAGAAATTTAGGGGCGGAGGCAAGATAGGGGTGTAATTCTTTTAGGTAGGGGTGTGTTTGTTTTGGTGATGTCAAATATCAACAGCATGTCTCAGAAATCGCTTACTGCACCTTTAAAGGCCATTTTCAATTGAGAGAGAGAGCATAAAGAGAGAGCCCACAGAGCACAAAGAGAAATGGTTTAGAAGGCTTATGTGCAAGCTTTTATATGTTTGCTCCTCCCCTGTAAACCACAAGAATTATGTTTTCCCTTCCCCCACGGCACGGGAAATATCAAAGTTCTCACGAAAATTAGGATTACCCCTACCCCCATGTCATGTGAACTATCAGCGGCTCTTGCAATACTACAGGTATTGTTATGTTAGAGCCCTAAAACAGAGGGAAGTTTTTTTAATATTATACTGAATATATAAAATTATAGTGAATATTATACAATTATAGCATGTTAAAGTGACCTAAATATCACCCAAAACAAATGTGTGTGAAATTTTGATATGTCTTATGTTTTATACAGCTAAAAGAGCACGGGGTCAAATTGACCCAAAAGAACACTGATGCTACAAAATGTGTACGACATTGAAAAAATGTCATGTTATTTTTATGTTTACAGAGTTGTCCCCATTAAATTAGGAAAAGTAATTAAATCTGAAGCAAAAAAAAAAAAAAAAGTCAATCATGTATTTACAGAAGTTAAACATTGAATTGGGTCAAATTGACCCCTTGGATAATAGGAGGGTTGAAGTACTAAAATAACTTTAAACTAATACTAAATAAAACTGAACACTAAAGCTTAATAAAAAAAAAAACTATATAGACGTTAACAAATAAAAAAACACAACAATTACTAAAACTTTAAAATTAAATAAATGTATATAAATAAAATCTATTTCAAAATATTAACAAAAACTATAATAGTATCATTGATACTAAAATAACACTCCTTGGTACTTAACAACTGCAATGCATTATATATTATTATCATATTTTAGGCTGGGTTATTGAATATGAAAAATACAGATTTCCCTTAATTTAAAAAAATCTGATAGTTCCTTAAAATCTCAAGACTGATCTTTTCATCTAAAACAGTTTCACTGAAAATTACCAGTAGTGCACCGCTTGTCCTGCAGTCTGCTCCACTTCATGAATAAACTGTCTACATTAAAGACTTTTTAATAAAGACTTGTTAAAATAAAAGTGCACATTATGCACCGATCATTGACTTGATATCAAATTGGAATGTAATTGAATCAAGAGCTTGTGGAAACAAATTAAATCTGGAAAATTATTGTTATTATTTGTATAAATTATAATACAGGTGCATCTCAATAAATTAGAATGTCGTGGAAAAGTTCATTTATTTCAGTAATTCAACTCAAATTGTGAAACTCGTGTAGTAAATAAATTCAATGCACACAGACTGAAGTAGTTTAAGTCTTTGGTTCTTTTAATTGTGATGATTTTGGCTCACATTTAACAAAAACCCACCAATTCACTATCTCAACAAATTAGAACATGGTGACATGCCAATCAGCTAATCAACTCAAAACACCTGCAAAGGTTTCCTGAGCCTTCAAAATGATCTCTCAGTTTGGTTCACTAGGCTACACAATCATGAAGAAGACTGCTGATCTGACAGTTGTCCAGAAGACAAACATTGACACCCTTCACAAGGAGGGTAACACACATAATTGGATGTCATCAAATCCATCAAAAAAAATAAATAAATCAAACAACAATAGTAGATAATAGGAATTTGTTGGGTATTTGTTCAGAATTATCAAAGACACAACAGTTTACAAACTACATATTAGAATTCTTAGTTTTAATGTTGAACTGACTGATTAAAAAAAAGAAACATACTGCTAAATGTCAGAATGCACATTTAATTATCACAAAATTCATGTTTTTGTCCTAATTTTAAGTTTGTGCGTGTGTGTTCACTCTCACCTTGCATGGCCCGAACGAGGTTCTTGACAGTGTCTGGTCGTACACTGAGAAATGCACATTTTTCCAACAGAGCGTCAGGCAGAGATTTAAACATGTCTATTTTATACACAGAGTCACTGCTTAGAGACTCCATAAATTTCCTGCACAGAGTACGAGAGAAAAGAGGAAAACATTTCAGCTACTGTACAAGCCTATAGATACACAGGGCAGATTTGCTTAGGGGTTAGTTCACCGAAAATAGGAAATTCTATCATTATTTGCTCATCATTCCTGGAAACCTGAAATACTTTTTTTTTAAGGGTGAGTAAATGATGACAGAATATCCTGTATTAGTCAGTATTTGTTTTTGAGTAACTTACTCAAGGATTTGGTTTTTATCCTCTATTTTAGCCACACTGTCCCTAAGTAACTTTGCCTTCTCCTCACTAAGAGAGAGAAAAAGGGAAGAAAAAGACATAACAGTTACAAATATGAACTTTCCACATAGATTTTAAACATTAAAATAACAAGTAAAGCATGTTACTGATGCACCAGCTGACCTATAAAGGGATGAGGCCTCATGAGTTGCCATGGGTACAAGTTTAGAGAAGAGGTCAGGACCAGTGACACTTTGATCAGTTAGGTTTATAGGCAGGGGTTTCACCAACGATGCACCTGCATGGCAGATGTCATAAGAGTACCAAAGGAAGCAAACATGAACAAAATAATGATTGTTACATTTATTATAATTTATCCTAATAATAATGTATTATAATTTTAAAAGAAATATTAGAGCTGTTAGTATACCATTTACTGTAGCCAATGTGTCCAGACCAGGCACAGACTCGTGGTAAATAAAGTCATTGTCTTTTTTAGTTGAGTTATATCTGAAACAGACAGAAAGTACAGTAAAAATGATCTCCAAATGAAAACACATAATAATAATAATAATAAAATAACAATAATAATAAATTCAAAGTCTTACTTTCCACCAATCACATCCATTGTGAATTTCAAAGCTTCCTGTACAGATTCCGGTTGGCCCTGAAAAGGTCAATGAATTAACATGTAAACATGCTTAATAAACAAACGGGTTGTGTGTATCTGTGTGCATGTGTTTGAGAATCTTTACCTTACTCTGCTTAATTGCCTCATTAAGTTTGTCCAGGGATGACTGAAAGTAAGCGACCTGTGGAGAAACAACAGGTGGCCTCACACTGTCATCAGAAGATATAACCCTCATATTCTACAGAGATGACGCTGAAGACCTCTTTTAAAAAGTAAACCAAGTAATGTTTGTATGAAGTCGTATATCACCCAGTGAAACTATTACTTGGTGCACATTCAATTATGTCAAAAACTATGTATAACTAAAACATGTTAACACACACAAGCATGTACTTACGGCTTCTCCATATTTCTGCTGTTCCTCTGACTGCTTTCCCATGTGTAACTAATGAAAATAAAATGATGTATGGTTTATGAAAATAACCAACAAGTTTATGAAAATGCATTGACATATGGTGAGTGCAGAGGTCTCACATGTGTGATGGCACTGAAGTAGCTGATCTTCATGTTGACGAGCTTTCTCCACTCTTTCTGAATCCTTCCTGGCACACATTCAGAATTATCCAACACCCTCAGACAATTCTTATAATAATCACACACCTGCAATCAGACTTGACATTAGTGTTGATAGTGGCAAGTGAGTGACAAGAGCTCTATAAAGCTGTTATGTTTACAGGGGAGCATATGTACAGAACTTCTTACCTGAGCACAAATCTTTGCTATTAAATGACTCTTCCTGTTGTCTAGTAAAGTTTTCTCCAGGAGACACTCTTGAGCTTGTGCCTTCAGAGAGAAAGATATAAAGGTTATAGAGGTTGTCCGAATCAAGTAAGTTGGAAATTAAAACGCAGCATTTGTGTGGTAGACTTTGCGTTTACCAGCATGAGGCTGATGTTGACTGAGAGTGTCTGGCTCATGCCATGCCGAATTGAGGCAGTAATTAAAGCAGAAGGAGACCCTACCAAGTTATTGAGTACATGTACAGTAAATGAACATACTTTTCAGAAGGCCAACAATTCACTAAAAATTTTTTTTTTATTGGTCTTATGAAGTATTCTAATTTGTTGTGAATTGGTGGGTTTTTGTTAAATGTGAGCCAAAATCATCACAATTAAAAGAACCAAAGACTTAAACTACTTCAGTCTGTGTGCATTGAATTTATTTAATACACGAGTTTCACAGTTTGAGTTGAATTACTGAAATAAATTAACTTTTCCACGACATTCTAATTTATTGAGATGCACCTGTATTACTTGATAATCATTTTACTGAAGTCCTTTATTTATAGGTTTTTAAATAAATACTTTTGTGTATTACTGTTCTTCTGAATTCAACAGCGTGCTGAAGGGCAAAGCCACACTTTTAATTTCCGCTACAAATATGAGAAACATGCAGTGGCGTGTGATACATCCAAGACTGTGCTCGATGCTCTTAATACAAACAAGATTTTCAGAAAGATTAAAAAAGACAACAAGGAGAAAGAAATAGTGATCCAGAGATCCAAAGGAGCAGTTCCTAGAGCGGCTGTCAAGACCGATTTCCCCTGCTGTCTTATTGAAAGACATGAGCTCTTAGACGTATCCTTCATTAAAAATCATGGAAATGTTGCTACAAAGAAAAAAACAACTGGAAGGCTTTCATTCTCCAATGAATCAAAAAGCTTAGTGATCTTTTACATTAAAACAAAAGGAGGGAAGAAAGTGACACGCTTAATGAAAAACAATGAGCTAAAGAAGAAGGTTGAAGATGTTTGTGTGTACGCGTTCAAAGAAGACAAACTGAATGCTGCTCTTCGGCGTGACGGACGATTCATCAATGCCATATTCAAGAAACAGTGTGCACTCTATAACTTGGAGAGCGAGACAAAATATGAAATGTCAAAGACCGTAGAGCATCTGGATGGAAATCATTTTGAGATCATTGTTATCAGTGACAAAAACCAGCCAGATAGCCAAGATTTTGCCTTGAGTGATGACAGCACTGAAATTAATGAAGCTTCAGCCGCTGATTTGAAAGAAATTGTTGATCATAATGAACATCCCATCAACACTGAACAAGAAGAAACACAGAAGAGAAACACAATGAAATCCACAAATCCTGCAACTAATTCTCCTGAAATAATTCCACACTCGGAAGAGATTCTAGCAATTCTTCGTGCTCAGTTTAAAGATTTACTGGAGACATTAAAGCAGAGAGAGAACCTGAGGAACAAATCTGATATCCAAAAGTTCTTTAGAGCAGAATATGATAAAAGTGTTCAGAGTTTCTCTGAGGTGTATAAAATAAAGCAGCTCATGAGACTCTCTGACTCTGTGTGTCAAATTCGAGTGGAGGGATCCGCCAGAGGAACTGGCTTCTTACTCTTTGGGCGATTTGTTCTAACTAATGCACATGTTGTTAAGGAAGTTCTTGAGTCTCCAGACAAGCTTTCTTCTACAAGGAAATTAGAAGCTGCATTTGATTTTGAACGTCTGGACTCAAAGGTGAAGCTGGTGCCAGTCAAGAAACAGCTTGCTGCTTACTGTTACATAACAGATGCCAATAAATGCCGTCTTGACTTTGCTCTTCTTGAACTGGATGCTGTTGATGAAATCAAAGGCCGTCCTGAGTTGCTCAGCTATTACAGTCCTGGCCCCCCTCCTAAAAGTGGTGAGATGTGCATTGTGGGACATCCAGATGGTGGGATTAAGAAAACGGACCCCTGCTTCATCATTGAGAGAGAAAATCTACAAGAGGCTGCCGATAAACACATCTCTGAGAATGTCAATTTCATACATGTGATGACACAGAAGAGTGTTGAAGATAAATGGGATGTTTATGAAAACCAGATTAATTATAACTCTTGTTTCTTTCATGGATCTTCTGGCTCTCCAGTTTTTGATGAACACTGCTATCTGATTGGCGTGCACACCGGTGGATATGTGTACCCAGGAGAAAAGGGTAGAACTAGAAGCATTGTGGAATACACCTATTCCATGCAGCCCATCCTTGATATGATCAGAGGACAGGCTAAGATAAAAGGTTTGCATGAGGTAGTCAATACCTTAGAAGCCTACAGAAATAAAAGCAATGAGTCTGGGACTGCAGAGCAGGAGAATCAGACCGACTGCGAGATGGAAGATACTGATTGAAGTCCACACATCTATGCTGACATTTCTTTGGGTGACGACTGCAATGGCTTCAATTCTGAATTTGGCGTGCACACCGGTGGATATGTGTACCCAGGAGAAAAGGGTAAAACTAGAAGCATTGTGGAATACACCTATTCCATGCAGCCCATCCTTGATATGATCAGAGGACAGGCTAATATAAAAGGTTTGCGGGAGGTAGTCAGTACCTTAGAAGCCTACAGAAATAAAAGCAATGAGTCTGGGACTGCAGAGCAGGAGAATCAGACCGACTGAGAGGGGACACATCTATGCTGCCATTTCTTTGGTTGACGACTGCAATAGCTTCAAATCTGAGAGATTTGTTAAATGTCATTACAGGTTTTCACTTTTCATATAATTTTTAGAGATGGCATGTTTAAAAGCCGAAGTTACACCTGGTTTCTCTTATTTTTGATAAACGTAAAGTAATGTATCTTATGGGTGATAGTGGGTTCATTCATTTGGTTGAGACTAAAAATACATTTATAGCTCATTCTTTATTGTATTTTCTTTACTCTGTTATTCATACATACTTGTGTATTCATATATCCATTCACAATAATTTCACTCATACAACAAATCATTCATTCATATATCTTCATATCCATGTTTATATTCTTTTTACTTTATATCTTATGTTGATGTTTTATGCTGATTTCACATAGCTTAATATTTTGTCTTTGTTGTAAGGGACCATGTTCAAGCTTCCACATCAAATCATCTTTGAATCACACAGATACACCAAATTAACTGATTTGACAGAATTGCTGTAATAAGAAAGAACAATACACAATCAGATGTGTATCTCCACTGAGATACATATTAGAATGACATCTTTGAGGGTTAATTCCAAGACTCAAGCAGCAAACCCCAGATCACTGTTCTTCATATTTTCTTGCTGAATGTAGATGTCCGTTACAACAAATAAAACCATTTAATATAACAAATATAGCTTTAATGTTTATTTCACTTACACT